TGAATCTGGTCCCTCTAGCTGTCCCTTTAGTATCAGTTTGACCTACAAGCAATGATCAGGTACTGTAATTTCATGCCATGAAAAAACTTGGAACTGCATATTATTAAAGAGGCAGGACATCTTTTTCCTGACCAGTTGGCAGCATTGGATGGGATGAGGGGTGTGTGCGCTGAACCCTGAGGGGACCTGTTGCAGCCCTCAGTACATCAGTGCTTCTGCCCGAACACAGTGGAGGAGTGGCAGGTAAACAGCAATGAGCAATGTGGGGACAGGGTGTGTGGACACCCTGCCTCCATAGTGAGGGTGGCTATTCCAGCCCGCTGTGTAAGCATCTCTAGTTTGCTGGAGATTCACATCTTCAGAATTTAGGATTATAAAACAATGAGATACAGCACTAAAATAAAGAAGGCACACAGTTTCACTAGGACAAAGTTAGAGTCCAGGGGTACCTTTAAGACCAACAAAGTTTTATTCAAGGTGTGAGCTTTTGTGCGCATGCACACTTCGTCAGATGAAAGCTCACACCTCGAGTAAAACTTTGTTGGCCTTAAAGGTGCCACTGGACTCTAACTTTGTTCTGTTGCTTCAGACCAACACAGCTGCCCACTTTGATCTGTTTTTACTAGGAGATATACTTCAGTTAAGACTGCCATTCTTGTACATTTATTTATTTATTTGTATGCTGTAAACCCCAGGGAGGGGCTGTGGTTAGAGCTAGTGTGGTGTAGTAGTTAAAATCTGGAGAACCAGGTTTGATTCCCCAGTCCTCCTCCACATGAAGCCAGCTGGGTGACCTTAGGTCAGTCACAGTTCTCTCAGAGCTCTCTCAGCCCCACCTACCTCACAAGGTGCCTGTTGTGGGGAGAGGAAGGGAAAGGCGATTGTAAACTGCTCTGGGACTCCTTAAGGTAGAGAAAAGTGGGGCATTAGAAACTTCTTCTTCTTCTTCTTCTTCAAAAGGTTCTGGGTTCAATCCCTGGCATCCCTAGTTTAAAAAAGGATCAGATAGTAGATGATGTCAAAGACCTCCACAGGAAACTCTGGAGAGCAATTGCCAGCCAGAACAGACTAGATTTACCTTGCTAGACCAAGGACCTGACTCAGGTAAGGAAGCTTCATGTATTCTGTACTATATTAGTAATTCCAAAGTCCTGAGGGGAAATTTGTACTGAACAGTACCAAAAACGTTTAACACAACTTTTCCAATACCTTCTTGCTAGGATCCACCCAGAGAGATCAAAGGTGAACAAGTTTCTTATAGGAGTTTTGTAGCTGAAGGGGAAATTGGCAGGGACAATTTGTCATACAGGATGATGCAGTTGCCAGCAATGCCAAAATTATCTCCTCTGTATAACCAGGGCTGTTTTTGGGCAGGAGCGCACAGGAACGGAGTTTCGTCTGGCTTCAGAGTTGGCCACGCCCACTACAGCCAAAACCTCTGCGTGTGCAGCTACAGAGGGAAGGCCTGGGGAGCGACCCCGCCTCGGAGTCGCCGGGGGGGGGGCGGGCCTGGAAGGATCGCGGAGGCATTTAAATATCTCCTTGAGCCTTCCCCGGCCTGTCCAAGGGCTGGCATGGGGTGTGGCCTAATATGCTAATGAGTGTCTGCTGTTGGGTGTGGCCTGTTATGCTAATGAGTTCCTGCTGGGCTTTTTCTACAAAAAAAGCCCTGTGTATAACAATGTGTGAACTTTCTCCTCCTTTCCATCAGATCATCTACTTTCTCCAGTATAAGGCAGTTTCATTTATTTGTATAAACAACTGAATTTATTGGGGCTTTCTTCCAAAGATATATGCACAGGATTAACTGGTATGCTCCCCCCTCCATTAATTACAAGCCAAGGTGTGCATCAACAATTCATCCCTATGAACACAAGATTCTACGTAACCATTACCATATTTACCCCAAAAGGAAGACAATCCTGAATGTAAGACAACCTTCCTATACACAGGCAATCTGTTATTTATTTATCTATTTATTTCTTGTATGGCAGAGTTACAAGCAGGAAACATATAAAATATGTAACCAAGTTGATATGGTGGGTATGCAGACCAATTGGGCAATCCTCCTAAATCTAATATCTAATTTTTCAATCCACTCAATTGCGGCTGGGGAGAGTTCAAAGAGCTCCGTCACATCTCTCTGGAAAGCACGATGTTCACATTCCTGTGACAGATGGAAAACAGTTTATCGGGCTGCACCACAATCACATTCAGGTCCTGGCATTTTGCCCAATTTAAGCGACAGGTCTGCACAACTGCCAAAGCCTTTTCGTATTCTATTAGCCATCTTCCATACTTTACATGGCAAGTCAAATCCTGCGGGCCTCTCATTGGTGTTTATCAGGTTATGGATATTGGGTGGAACTGATTGTATCCATGTTTGCAACAACCATTTATTCCCTAGATCAAAATGTTGTGATTGCAGGATTTGTGCATGGGCAACTCTCTGTTTTATATGATCTTTCTATATTCACAAAGAAGAGCATCTTGTCTTTGGAGATGCAGGGGAGTGATGTGGCACAACAAGTGTAGCCGGTTGGTCAGAATGGGTTTAATATGTATGCTGATGGTTCTCATTGTTGTATTGAGCTGGACATCAAGTTTGTGGACATGGGGGGTGTTGAGCCACACTGAAGCACCATATTCTGAAGTACAATACACCAACCCCAAAGCTGAACATCTAAATGTTGTAGCAGATGCACCCCAAGTTGTACCACATCTTTTTTAGAGAATGTTGTTCTGTGTATGTATTCTCATTGCTACTTTGGTAAGATGGTATTTATAATGTTGTGTCCTGTCTAGGGTAATGCCAAGGTACTTAGGTTGTGTGTAATTCAGGTGCCATTAAGGTAAACATTCAATTCATGGTTGGCAAGATTGTTATTGAGATGGAAACTGGACCATTCTGTTTATCCTAGACTTGGGATAAGCCACCATTTATGGTAGTAGTCAGCCAAAATGTCAAGGTTCCTAGTAGTTAGTATTTCCTCAGTCCTTTCAATCGACTTGTGTCTTACTGCTATCACCATGTCATCAGCATAAGCAAACTTCCTGGATATTATCTCGGGAACATCAGAGGTGTACAGACTGAAAAGAACTGGAGCGAGGACCGAGCCCTGGGGCAGACCGCTATTCAGTTTATTCTGCTTACTGATTGCCTGACCCATAATTAAAGTTCTATCACTCAGCATATGGATTTAAGTCAACCCCCTATTCTTCTTGACTGCACTCTGTGGAAAACCCTTGTTGTCCTATCAGGCAAATAGGTAATCCATTTTGCCTGGTATTCTCTAGCAGCAGCTTATCTGGCTCTCAGGAGTAAATCTTTCCCATGTCTGCAACTAGGGGTGAAATGGCCATTTGACCTGCAGGAAAGTTCATGGTGGGTTGCTGCCCTGGACAGTTACTGGCAGCCTCATGGCAGCATGAGCCAGCACTACAGGTAATGATGATGGGTGTCAGTTTCTGGGAGTTGAAGCCAACCATGAGCGCCATGACTAGGTGTGAGCAGAGGGCCCTCTATCACTCACAGTGCTACAGCAAGCTGCTCAATTTGGCTGCCAAAAAGAAACCCTTTTAATGGTCAAAGGGTGAGGGGAGCAATGGGTGCTCTACATGTAAACCATATTGCTCTGCCACAGTGTGGTGTAGTGGTTAGAGCATCAGACTAGGATCTGGGACAGCCAAATTCAGATTCCCAGTAGGGCAGCCCACTCTGGGTTGGGAAATTCCTGAATTATTTTTTTGGGGGGTGGGGGGAGTCTTGGGGAAAGCAGGGTTTGGGGAAGGGCGGGACCTCAACAGGTGTAATATCATGGAGTCCATCCTCCAAAGCAGGCATTTTCTCCACGGGAATTCACCTCTGTAGTCTGGAACCCCCCCTTGGTTTGGGAATTCCTGTAAATTTTTTTTTTTTTGGGGGGGGGGAGTCTTGGGAAAAGCAGGGTTTGGGGAAGGGAGGGACCTCAACAGGTGTAATATCATGGAGTCCATCCTCCAAAGTAGGCATTTTCTCCACGGGAATTCACCTCTGTAGTCTGGAATTAATTATCGTATGGCATTGTTTGTAGAATAGCCAGGAGATCCTGAGATTGTCTGGCAGCAGCAAGTTTTAGCTCTTAGCATTATGCCAGTGGCCAGTTAGACTTGTTTTTAGGGACTAAGAGAGCTCTGAAAGAACTGTGACTGGCTCAGGGTCACCCAGATGGCTTAATGTGGAGGAGTGGGGAATCGAACCCGGTTCTCCAGATTAGAGTCCGCTGCTCTTAACCACTACACCAAACTGCCTCTCTACAGTTTGGAGATCCTCTATAATTCCAGGAGATCTTCAGGCCCCACCTGGAAGTTGCCAGCCCTGCCATGGAACTGGACTTGGGGCAGTCACTCTCAGCCTACCCTACCCTACCCTGCAGGGTTGTGAGGACAGAATGCAGGCAAGGATAATAATGTTGTTAGCGGCTCCAGATCCCCCTTGGGGACAAAAATGAGCCATAACTATCGAAACAAGTGAATACTTTTATTATTACTCTCCACCACGTAGTTCGCCTAAACAAACAAACAAACAAAAACCATCGAAACAAGTGAATACTTTTATTATTATTCTCCACCACGTAGTTCACCCAAACAAACAAACAAACAAACAAAAAACACAAATGCTCCGCTGAGCCTATGCACATACCTGCAGGTGTAAATTACACTCCAGACGTCAAGGCCAATAGCATACATTTGCAATGACTCTCAACCTCTCTTTTCCCCAGGCTCACCCCGCCACCTACTGCTTCGGGACCTGCACTGCAACGCCCGCCAAGCCTCCCGGCCTGTTTGTTCCTCCTTCCTTCCTTTATCTAAGACCATACCAACCTACGCCGACAGAAGGGGGGGAGTCGGAGGAGTAATTAATTCTATGAGAAGTACTACTTCCTCCCTCCAAGCTTCTCTTTTATCCTCTGCATCTTCAAAAGACTAAAAACAGATAAATAGAGGAGGGGGGGGGATCCCCAGAAAGTACTCAGAATAGGCGAGCGACTACCTCCCCGTCGAGGAGGGGAAATAGTGCAGTCCTTAAGATGGCGGCTACCATGAAGAAAGCGGTAAGGGGCCGAAGCGGGGATGGAAGGAGTGGGTTTCGGGGTGTCTGTTTCTTTCGGGGGGGGGGGAAGGGGGGGCAGGAAAGGTTGCCCCTGCTGAGGTAGCGAGGCTGGGGTAGCTTTGCTTCTTCGTGACCTGAAGGCTAGGCATGTGGTACAGCAGTCCTGCTAGAGCCAAGTAGGGTCGGGGATGGACAGTGCTTGCCAGGCAGGGAAACCCTTGGAAGAAGCCACGCGGCACTCGGAGGGAAAAAGGACTTTTTTTGTTTTTTTGCAGACTTGTTAAACCAATGCATTCTTTATTGCCGTGGTGATAGGGATGGAGTGCCCAGTTGTGCAGTGGACATCTGAAGTCTGCTTGTACCGTGTGGTCCGTCCAGCTCGGGTATAGCTTATTTGGTGGGTTGCAGCTCTCCAGGCATCTCCGGCAGAGAAACGGCTTTGCCAGCGCATGCTGCTGGAGTTCCTTTAGATAGGGATTGAACCCGGGACCTTTTGTAGGCCTGGCATACGCGCTGCTGATCTCGTCAGATCTCGGAAGCTAAGCAGGGCCAACCTTAGCAAGTAGTTGAATGAGAGACCGCCAAAGAATACCAGGGCCAGGAGGCAGAGGCAGGCTGTCAAGCCACTTCTCTGAACGCCCTCCAGGCCCCAGTAGGAGTTGCCAGAGATCGCCATGACTTCCAGGCACAGACAGGGCCTGGCGGGAGCTGGTCCATGGGGTCGCGAAGAGTCGGACTCGACTGGGTGACTCAACAACAACAACAACAACATACGCGCTGCTGATTTGTACCTTCCTTAGCGCGAGGCCTTCAGCTTGACGTGTAGGTGCTTTACAAATATATGTTGTTTTCTCAGGCTAGGATCTTTTGCACGCAAAGCAGATATTCTACAAATGAGCCATAAGTGTTCCTAAAATGCACACTTTCCTTACCACAATGTGTATGAAACTTTCTTCTACTGAGTCGGAGCATGGATGGGTCCATCCAGTTCAGTGTTGTTTCCTCCGATTGGCAGTGACTCTCCAGGATCTTGGGCAGGCATCTTTCCTAGTATCCGTTGCTTGATTTCTGTTAGCTGCTTTGAGTTACTTTATCCTGGGACGTTCAGCATGCCAAGCAAATGTTTGAACCCTGATCTGTGATACTCTAATTGCTGAGTTGTCTAAAAATGTGGGTGCTTTGTTTAAAAAATGGGGAGTAGGAAAAAACAGCAACATTGAGAGGAAAACATATGAACAGATACTCAACCGAGGCTGCGGTCACACGGAACATTAGCCACGCAAGAGAGACGGAAGACAGGCGGATTTTCCGGGTGCGATCTCACCGGCATCTGGGAAGCGTAGCGTTTCCATGGCACAACCAAGGCTTCCTGCCGAAAACACGCAGCAAAAAACTAGTACCTCGGAGGTATTAGTTTACGGAAACCGCGAGGCAAGGGCGGGCGTCTGATCGCGTTTCCGGTGGCATCCGGCGCCCGCCCATGTCCCCTTGCGAAAAAGGGTGTTTTTTCCCCCAAGTCTCCGTGGATGTGCACACGCACCCAATGGAGCATGCACATTCGTCATGTACACAAAAAAAGAAAACCAGTTTGCCGCACCGCACGCTTCTTCGTTGTGCACAGGCGTGTCCTGTGATTGGCACCTTTCCCTCCCCACGGAACCTCCACGGTACCTCCACAGAACCTCCAGAGGAGGTCTGATCGCTTAACTGCTTGTTAGTTTGCCCCGGGGCAAACAGCCACGCTTCCCCCCCGCGGTTTCCTGCCCGTGTGACCGGAGCCCAAGTTTCCCTAAAAGCATTCGCTTCTCACCACTAAAGGGCCTTTGGATGCTGAAAGGCACTCTGTTTTGCTCCTTATCCTTTCCCTCTTTTTTAACGTTCTAGTTATTTTTGAACTATTGCAGGCCCAATAAAAGAAACAGTGGCCTTTCAGGCAACCTCTTCTACATTAGCAGCAGTAGCCTCTTCTTGTTTAGAATCCTCATTGGTCACTTTCTGTACCTGAAAGTTCTCGAGGTGCTTGTCATCCAAATTACAATAAAGCCATCCAAAACCTAATTAAAGCCAGCTGAAACAATTCAAAACAAGTCAAAACAACTGATACAACCAACAGCTGATACAACCACACAATAGTTGAAAGCAGGTTCTGTCATGGTTTCCTCAAGAGATTGTGTCCTCCAGCACACACTTTGGGAAAAGAGAGAAGGAAAAATAAGTTGACTTAGTATTAGCTAGATGAAAGGCCATTAGTATAAATTCTCTATAGACTTCTTTGGGAGTAAGTCCCATTGAGTACTCTGATTCTGCTGAATTTTCTCTGAAATGAAAATGTTCCTGAATGTAGGATCCCCCCCAAAAAAACTTATGCACAAAAAGCTTTTTATAATGCCCTGGTCTGGATAGCCCAGGCAAGCTTGATCTCGTCAGATCTCGGAAGCTAAGCAGGGCCAACCTTAGCAAGTAGTTGAATGAGAGACCGCCAAAGAATACCAGGGTCAGGAGGCAGAGGCAGGCTATCAAGCCACTTCTCTGAACGCCCTCCAGGCCCCAGTAGGAGTTGCCAGAGATCGCCATGACTTCCAGGCA